GTTACCACCCTCCAATTCATATTATCTGTCTAGTCTTTTCTTACTATACAGATATTCCTCTAGAATTTTTTTCAAACTTTAGAATCGTGAATTTTTTTCAAACCTTTGAATTGCAAATGATCGCATCACAATGCAATCCTATGTATGTTAGGTTCAAGTTATCATAACTGTTGATGGTCTGTATGAATACCTGCACCTTTTCAACATTGCAGAATTACCACACGACATCGCATAAGCCCTAAATTATAATTGTACTGAATTCTCCACTGAATCAACACTAGCCATTAGTGACCATCCTGGTACTGAATGTGCGTGTTATCTAACATCTTTTTTTTACAATGGCATCCCTAATGCATGTGATCGTATGAATACCACTCACTTGCCTTCTATTGTCACTTGTTTCTATATAACCAACATGTATTCTAACGTTGCAAATATGATCATTAGTTATATTAAAAATCTCACCTCTACTAGGAACCGTAGAGCCCGCCGAAAGCAAAATTCTACCCTTTGACATATTATTGTGTTTGTACTATAATCCAAATATATGCTGACCTTTCTTGCAGCACCAAACTACTAGCCTACATTCTTCACCGACAACTCATTTCACATAATCTATATTGATACATGTAGGGAATCTCCGGGTGTGACCTCTTTCGACTCCGATGAAGAAGAAAAAGTAGGTGAAGGATCTTCACAACGTCCTCCTCTTGCTTATCATTATCCTTGGATGCATGGACTGAGCATTTTGCCCGTTTTGAATTGAAAGTTTACACCAATTCTTCTATCATCACCTCCACTTCCAGCCACCACCCCCACTTCCAACCTCCACCATCACCACTGATCAAGGGCTCTCTAATGAGTGATGTTGGTTTTTGTATTTTTCTCTTTATGTTGTATTTTCCTTATTTATATTGTATTCTCTTTTTAGTTGCTCTTCCTTTTTGTGATGTTAAAAGCGAGAGTAGTTATAATATTGATTGTCATAGTAGGTGTTGTATTGTACTTTGTGATTCTAATTTAAAATCAATGTTCTTGTTTTGATTTTATTTATGTGGTTATGTTGATTTTTTTTAATATACATGTTGTTTAAAAATTAAAAAAAAAAAATCAAAAATAAAAAGTTAAAATTAATTGAAAATTCAAATGTATTTTCCATATATATAAAAAAAAAACATATAGTGAGGGGGAGAACTGAGCAAGGAATTAAATATGAAGTTGCAAATCTAAATTCAAATCAATAATATTTGTCATCATTAAAAGAGGGAGATTGTTGAAATCCGTGAGCCCCACCTAATATTTTGATGATTACAAATATTATTGGTTAGATCATTTATTATTCTCTGCATTATATATATATATTTTTTTTTGTGCTATTAACATTTCAGTTGGAACAAAAGAAGTTATTTCATACACCAAGCTTGATCATAAAGAGTAAATGTCAAAAGTAAATTATCGAGTTTGCAAAACTTTCTTTTTCTTGAGTCAATCTGTATTGGTTGTATGTTGGCTTGGTGACTAAGCACACACACACAAGTGGGGATGAAAAATTGAACACTTTGTACTGTATAATCCCAATCATATTATATGACCAACTATGTTGCACCGATACGGATACGACGACACTGATACAACACGATACGAATACGGGACATGTCAATTCTTAAAAATACAGGACACGAGTACGATGTGAATATGACATTATAATTTATAAATCATACATAAGAATTAAGAAAACAATCAAAGCATAATATTTAAAATTACAAAAAAAAATGAAAGTAACATCATTTGTAGCCTTGTAGCTTATAATATTAAAGTAAAAGTAAGCATTAAATGTCTAGTACAACAACAAAAGCATAAACATAAATTGTCTAGCACATGAAGTTTCCACTATTCAATAGAAGGAATGATATGATTAGCTTCTTCAATGGGTTGTCTTTGAACTTCTATATCATCTTCAATAAATATCATCCTGTAATTCATACTCATCAAGTAAAAGATTATTAATTTCTAATATTCTCATATCATCAAGAGACTCAAATCCATCTAGGAAATGAGAGAACCTCACTCGCAGCCGCGGAAGGAAATACAACATGTCTTTTTCTTAGATTTTTTTTTGAACGAACACGCGTATCGGATACATGTCCTTTTGAAATTAAATAGTATTTTAATTAAATATGACAAAGTGGTATCCAACACGTATCAGTGCCATATCGGAGGCGTATCCGTGTATCAGATACAGCACGCCTTCATAAATAGGTGTATTGGTGCAACATAGACGACCAATTGTTTTAGAAATTAATTCAATTGGTCAATGAAATTAATTAAATTAATTCAACACAATTAATCATAGTGTACAACCTATGATTGTACAAAATGATTAGTTATTTTGATAAAAACACCTCTGTTGAATCTGAGTTATTAACTTTAGATAACTTTAAATTTTTAAATTTAACCTAATCATATTGTACAAAAATTTTTGTATTGTACAATTATTAATAAATATTGCCTTATTTGAACCATTAATCAAGCAATCAAATCTGGATTTATAATTGTATTGTACGATGCAAATCATCTAGTACGATTTAACAGAATATTTCCTGGATGAAACATGATTCTTCTTAGACAATCCCTGATATGACAATTGATCGTACCGTGCGATTCAAATCATATTTTACAATTCATATCGTATACTTCAATCTAAAAGATCTCAGAAACAAGTGTTTAATGAATCAGATGGTACGAATCACAGTTCGTACTATATGATCAGTGCAACAGAATTGAAAATTAGAATTTCATTTAAATAACTCAATTTAAGTCATTTAAACATCTCAGAAGGGAGGTGTCTTATCAAAGTCGTTATGAGAGTCATTATGGAGAAAAAGGGTGTCTCTTCCTTTGGAAAAGCTTGAGCAAATTCTTGTGAGTGAGGGTGCGTTTGAGAGCATTCTTTGGGGGTGATCAAGGATTGTGAGGGGGTTCACACGGTTGCGTTTGTTCTCCAAAGTTTGTGTCTAGTGTTTTTGAATGGGTCTTTGCAAAAGTTTTGGGTGAAGACTTGGGACTAGTCGGGGAATGCTAAATGAGCGGCTTCTTCACCATTGCGAGGAGCAAAAGGAGGGTTGGCATCTCCGCTGTGCTTGGAGGCAGAAGGAGGGAGGCTTTTTGGGGATAGAAAGTTCATGCAAAGGTGGGAAGGGAGAAAGGCTTCTCCACTTGGTTGAGTGTTAAAAAAAATTCTACTTAGTGAAATTCCCAAGAAGGAGGATATTGGAAATTGAACATAGGTCTGGTGACTGAAGCATTATAAAAATTGTTGATTTGTATTGTTTACTTTTTCATGCACTTTGATTTTCTTGCTTTCAGTTTATATTGTATGTCTCTATGACAATTTTTATTTGTTGAACTTTTAGTTGAGCTTTTTCATAAAATATAAAAACACAAAAAAATATTTATATTTTAAATATTTTGTTTTAAAATATTTTTTCGCTTCCACACAATATGTTGTTTTAAGAAAAAATCATCATAGATGGTGTAAAATAATAGTTTGTCAATCTAAAAATCTTTTGTCGGAATTTGTTAGAATTATCTATAAGAAAAATTAGATAAAATAAAGTTGTACCACAAATTGGATGAAGTTTTACTAGATAAAAAATTCCCATAATTTTGATATTAGAACATTTTTGTATACATCATAATTTAAATTTAAATCATGACATCAACTAATGTCTTAGATTTTCTCTTTCCACCTCTTTATTTGAAATTCACATCAAACACATCAATTGCATGATTTATAGATACAAGACTAATCTTCTACCTTAACCTATGATAAATAATGAAATTATGTCCAGTACTATTGAGGGATATCAAGGTTCTCTTTTATGCTAGTGAGATAGATTTGCATGTTATTGATCATGTTTTTCTCTAGAGGAAGTGAAATGCATGCCCATATCTTGTTGATGAATATCAACTAAATAATACCGTAGCGCCAAAATTTTCAAACTTGGGCATAATTTATCTTAGTCCTAAATTCCATAGTCGTCATAAACATAAATTTAATGTGTTAAAATGAACAACCTAATAAATTAACTTTTAATTCCATAGTCGTCACCTATCTTCTGAATTTATTTTAGTTATCACATAATTGCATTGAAGTATTTTGAAAATGATTCTTGCAGTTATGTTGAATAAAACCTAAACTCTCCTTTCAAAAACGTTTTTGGTATCTAGGAAGATGCAGCCCAATTATGCACTGTAATTTTTTATTGTTAAAATTTTTATGTTTACTAAAGTGATTCAGTACATTGGTACCTAGGTGGGGCAACATTTGAATTTCTAGTGATTCCGTTTCAGAACTCATCACTTCAGAAGAAATAAATGAGCATATGATTAGATCTAAAAGTATCTTTGGTGGTTCCTGTCAACTGCTGGCTTGGTACATGCCTTAAAACTTGTGTGGACTCCCTGTCATTGTTCTTCATGGAGCAATATATGGAATACTGATGAAGATAACTGTAACCTTTGATTTTCAAAAGCGGTCTCATTTAGCATTTTCAAACCTTCTGTTTAGGTGTTTGGTACCTATGAAAGGGTGGCAATAGCTTCATGAACTATATGCAACCTAAATTTTACATTTTCTTTTAAAATAGTATATATCGACCTTTTACAGCAGGTGTACTTCACCTTGATTTCCAAGTTATTGATGTCCTTGATAGGTTTTAAGTGGAAAGTGAAAGATGTCAGCCATTCTCAATATATTCCTTGAACCTAATAAGAACTCCCATCAGCCATTGTGTTCTCATAATAATAACTCTTTACTCTTAATTTATGTGTAATCAATAGCTGTTGCATGTTCTAAATTATTATGTTTAAGTTTTAAACTTTTTTTTCAAAATATTTTTATCCAAATCGATGACTTTTCTGATGTTTTCCTTTGGTGCGTATATTAAAATTCTGATTAGTTTTACATTTTTTGTTTTTGGTGCAAATTCCTTTTTTAGGGCATTTATGGGTATCCGATTGAGATTCAGGCCCTTTTTTTTATGGCTTTAAGGTGTGCATTGGCAATGCTCAAACATGATGCAGAAGGAAAGGAATTTATTGAGCGAATAGTGAAACGTCTGCATGCATTAAGTTATCACATGAGGAACTACTTTTGGCTTGATTTCCAACAGCTGAATGTCATTTATCGCTATAAAACAGAGGAATATTCTCACACTGCAGTCAATAAATTTAATGTTATTCCTGACTCAATTCCAGAATGGGTTTTTGATTTTATGCCTACACGTGGTGGCTACTTCATTGGAAATGTCAGTCCTGCAAGGATGGACTTTAGATGGTTTGCTCTGGGTAATTGTTTTGCCATTTTATCGTCACTTGCTACTCCTGAGCAGTCCATGGCTATAATGGACCTCATTGAAGCACGCTGGGATGAGTTAGTTGGAGAAATGCCTCTGAAAATAACTTATCCTGCTATTGAGGGCCATGAATGGCGGATTGTTACAGGATGCGATCCCAAGAATACCAGATGGAGTTACCACAATGGAGGATCTTGGCCAGGTTAGCACATTTCAATCATTTGTTTTTTTAAAAAAGGAACTATATATATATATATATATAGCTGCTCATAAGAAAACCAGTTGGCAGCAAATATCCTTGAAACTCTAGGAAAAGGCTTATGGTTTAGCGCATTTAGACGTCTTGCACTTCCTCTATGAATACCCACCTGTTGGAAGCTTAACGTTATGGACAGCAAATATTGCTGATTAGCATTTTGTCAGAACATGAACCTGGTTCTGTCCCTCCAGACTCACCCGCAGAAGCTATCCATTTTTGTGACATAAATTTAATCATACATGTATGGGTCTAATCAATATATTTGTTAGGAAGAAATTTTTGTTAGGATATCTGATATAAATTTAGATTGGATGGATTTCCTAATCTTTTGAATAATTTTAAGTTAAGGGAAATATAAAATTTGATTGATTGATATATGTTTTGCACATTGTAATGTTTGTTCAAAGATTATGAAATCCATATGATCAAAATTATCTAGGGATATCCTTATCCATTTTTTACCTACTTTAAAGGCGGGTGATGTGAACGTATCCACAGAAGAGCATGCAAGTTGTATTGACAATTTAACCTTCGTACGTGTCATTACTTGAAACCAGAAAGCTTTGACCAAGTAAACCGTTTTTGGTTTTGTTGATCACCTAGACGCTCAGCTTGCCAGAAGTAAAGTGTGACTCAACTGTGTGCATGCCTGAAAGAAAGTTTTTCATATGCAAGTCCGAACCTCTTATGTGCTTTCTTGATTTTCTTATTTTTTGAACTTCACCGCGTCCATGAATCTTTTTCTGTGATGTGCCTTGAATATCATTGGAATGCATTATTTATTATAAAAGTTAATATTTAAATGTGGCTATAATTTCGTAGTACTTGGGAATTTTCTTTATAGATTGCTTAGATTTGATTTATTTTAAAATAAAGTCTCGACTGAAACAGCTCTATTCCGTGTCTCATCTTTCGTGGAAATTTTTTTGGAGTAGCTTATAGACCTACTTTATGAAGTGATTTTACTAGAATTGATTATTTGAAACACTTCATGTATCAATATTACAATCATGGGCTCGCATGCTCTGTTCTTTGTCTTCTGCAGTGCTCTTGTGGATGCTTACTGCTGCGTGCATCAAGACCGGCCGTCCCCAGATTGCCCGGAGAGCGATTGAAGTTGCCGAAGTACGGCTTCTGAAAGATGGCTGGCCTGAATATTATGATGGTACGCTTGGTCGGTATGTAGGCAAGCAAGCCAGAAAGTTTCAGACTTGGTCTATTGCAGGTTATCTTGTGGCCAAGATGATGTTGGAGGATCCATCACATTTAGGTATGATTTCTCTGGAGGAGGACAAGGCGATGAAGCCTCTCATGAAGAGATCCAGTTCATGGACTTGCTGAGTGTTTTGTGGTTAAGGGGGGAAATTTACAGTTTTAATTTTTACACTATTATTTGGCTAAAGCTTTTTCATCTAGTTGCTTTCGGGGTTTTCAAATGAAAAGTTTTAGTCTGTAAAATATAATATATTTGCACAATTGGTCTGAATGAAAAGCTTAGCTTTTTTTTTATGCTAGTAATTTAATGGCGTTTGATGTACTAAGAAACATGGAACTACAGGAGATTAATTGCTCTCTTTGCTAATTAGATCCTTTTGTCTGTGTTGAATAACTAGTTTCTGTGTTTCTTTATTTAAAGGGTAAGAAAGCTGTTGTTTATTTTTCTTGAAAAATTAATAGTAATTCAATATTAAAATGAAATAAAGATTTATTACAATGTGGTTAAAAATGAAATACTTGGAAAACAAAATTATAGATTTTCTATGTAGCTTACCAAAAGAGTAAGAAAATACCCCTGCAATCCGAAAGGTCCAGCTAATAAGAATCACAAGGGAGGATAGTATAGTCACATGGGGTCAGATTAGAATTGCTTCAATGGCAAGAAAAACATTAGCTGTCAACTCGAAGAAAGTACCTTATCTTAAATAAGGCAAAAAATAACTCATCTTGATATGTTGGTTCGGAATTTTGTCTGTCAACTAAGAGGTCTTAAATTTGAGTTTTGTGTATGCGATGTGTTGATGAGTTTGTCTTAATTGATCTAAATACCTCAAAATAAATAAATAAAACAAAAATGAAGACCCTCCACAAAAAAAGTTGGGTCGAGCCTGCTAAAAGCCCATCAAGCAAAACATAAAAGAAAGGAAGCATAATCCCATTTTAAACATTAAAAAAAAGGGGAGGATCATAACTCACATAATGTCTAAATATAATTTGATTTGCTACACATATTGATTGTAAAATAGAGAATGCGTCAATGAGGTAAACCAATGAAAAAAGATATCAACCAACATAAACTCATGATAAGCATCCTTTAAACTAAACATACCTTTATGAGTGAAGTCACATAATAATAAATCATCATATTCAATATTAATGGGAAAATTTTAGATTTTATTGTACTCCCAAGTGTTGTCAGTGATAAAAGAATCCACTTTAGTAGCGGCAATGGACTGTTTTTTTTAAAGAAATCACTATTTTTTTCATTAATAATAATGAAAAAATAGAAACCTTCAATGGACTATTTAATAAGATTAATGAAAGAGGATTAAATCCAAATAAATGCAAGATGTGATAAAGAAAATCCCAATTAATGTTAAATCTTGTTGTGAGGTTCTCACAATTGTGTGAGATTGTTTCTTACTGGTGTTAGGAAGATACAGTTGTTATAACCTATTTTTGGTTTTTAGTTGAATCCTAGACTGGAGTTGGACTAGGTGTGAATGTAGATCATTAGAAGCCAAATAACATAAAAATCCTTATTTGTTCTTTTCACTTGTGCATTCTCTCTTGAAATTTATTTTGTTGATTAATTATCTCACTCACATCAGTAAGTTTTCTTTAAGATGATACTAAATATTTTTTAAATTATTACTCTTTTTGTATACAACCCAATTTACCCCCCCCCCCCCCCCCCCCCCATATTCTTTCTCCAAAAGGAGCTACCAATTTTTCCATAACGTTTCTCAATTATTATCAGAGCATCACCTTATCTTTTTATTAAAACCCCATATTAAGATCTAGTCCACATCTATGGCACCAAGTTTTCCCAAAAGTGTATTACTTGAGGGACAATCTGCTCACTGACCACCACTCTTTGGTAATGTTCTATTTAATTATAGGAAGAATCATATTAGCACTTATTTGCATGGCCAAGATGCTATACATTAGAATATACCTACACACCCATATCATACACCCATAAAAGAACTAAATGGTATGATTATTGATAAACCTTTTCATGATTGGACTCACCTTGAGCTTGAGTTAGATGAATTAAATACTAATGAATGCAATATTTTACATTGTGCTTTATTACCTTATGAATATATACACATTTCCATGTTACCTATTGTTAAGCATATTTGGGAAAAAAATACTTATTATATATGAAGGCATTAATGAAGTTAGAGATGCTCATATCAATAGATTCATGAATAATTATGTGTTGCAAATCTATTTTTGTTTTGATGATTGACAAACACTTTTAACTCTCTTGGACTGCCTGCTATTTCTAACTTTTCAGGAATCAAAGATCGGACGAACAAACGAAGCCAGTTCAAAATTGCGTAGGTTTTGGGTTGAGTCAGGCTGTAATTAATTTTTCTATTATTGAGTCTATTTGTAATGATCAAAGAGACTGATGCTAAGTTACCCTACACACACATACTTGAGAGACTTAGAATTTCTGTTTTTACTCATATCGGCCAGGATGATATTTACATCGTCCAGGACGATCGGGCTTAAAACAGAAAATATAAACAATGATTCTTAATTAAGGCAGCCGTCATCAACAGATCGTGCTGGACGATATGTGTATCGGCCAGGACGATATGTGTATCGGCCAGGACGATAAGCTCAAAATAGAAAGAAGTTGCCGCCATAGACAATTAAGGTATTATGTATTTTTAAATAATCGACCAGGACGATTATGGATCGGCCTGGACGATATTCACAAATTATGCCTTAATTGATCAGGAAATCAAGGGAGTAATTAAGGATGATTGATACGATCATATCGTCCTGGATGATCGCAGGATCGGCCAGGATGATCTATTCAAAAACCTTAGTTACTTCTAGACGATAAAGGATGATAAATATCAGCCAGTCAAATTCGGGGCGATGCTCTGGCGATTTTCCTC